AAATCGATATTGAAAGAGAAATAAAAAGAGTTCAAGAGATAGATCTCCATCTCCCTAAACCTAGAAACAAACTAAGAAACAATCTAAAGTATTCTAAAAACTCTTATCAAACTTAACACATGGTTTAGGGTTTTTAAAACAAGTATTTATAGGTCTTCAAGGCATGCTTTGATGTCTCTTAAGGTTTCTCCAAAGACAGAAATCAAATGGGCTTGAAATTGGGCTTCTGGGGTCGGACACTGATTTTCCACGGTCAGGAGCTCTCTGGACATGGTAAAACATGTGTTGACCGCGGTCCAGAAGGCTGGCTGACTGCTTGACTAAACTTCTTGCTCTTCACGTAACTTTTGATTGAATCATTGGATTTTCCTCATGTCAAGTGTGCTTGAAATCTAGCTGATTCTTCTTTAAAGTCTCCAAATTTGAGCTAGATCAGACGTTGAGAAGGTCTTCATTTGAGGGTGAACTTCTGACGGTTTGACTCTGAGTTAAAATCTGGTCTTCTATCCAATTTGTAAAGCTTTTGCCTAAGTTTCCTGAAAAGAGTCTTTAGACAACAAATACTAGAAAAACATAATAAAAACAATTAAAAGAAATAAAAAAAAACATTAGAAAAGCATTTAAAAACGATCATAAAGGTGGTCAAAATACAGTGTTATCACCGAGGAATCCTACGCAAGTATGCATCGGCCTAGAGCCTTGGCCAATGCCAAATGTCCAAGACCGAGGATTACAAGGCGATTCTCCACCGGTTTGGTGTATCTGCCAGTGACCAAACGACCAAGACTGAGGATTTCATGCACCAAAAGAGCTTGATGAAATGTCTGAATGAGTTAAATAAGAGTTTAATGTTTTATTCATATAAGAATGCGTGTTTAATCATCAAATGACAATTAGAACTGGTTCTTTATGCTTGTTAATCATTGTTACACTAATGAGAATTATATTTTATAAGTGATGATTAAGAATGTGATTAGTACCTTGAGAGAGGATTAGTCTTTTTTATAAGTTATATGCTAAAGGAAATATTTTTTTGATTGCTTTAACATCATAGATTAACACTGAAAGCATCCTAATCAATTATCACACCTTAACGCTTATCTTTTTATATCTTTGAGTTAATCTGTGTTAAGTTTTTAGTTTGCTTTTGTTTGATCATTTTTTTTGCTTAGTTTCATTTCATTTGTTTAGTCTTAAGCACTTGTCATTAGTTATCACAACATTCACCTTACTTGGATTAAGCAAGTTTCATATATTTTTAGTGTCTAAATCATCTCTATTTGGATTGATACCTTAATGCTGCAATGATATTAGCAAGTTAAGGAATTCAACTGAGAAATATCATTTACCATTGGTTCATGGCGGTTGTCTATGGTGTTCAGGGCCTGTTGACGGTATTGCTTTCTGCGATCTGCGGTGTTCAGAGCTCTGCCAGTGGTTTTGTTTTCTGGCCAAGTCCATTGGTGTGGCTTATGTGTTCTGATGTCTATTTAGGTTCGGCTAGGTGGCTTAGCGGAGCTTAGTCTTAGTGGTAGTTAGTGTTAGTGGTAGTGGTCGACAAGATTGCAGAGGTGTTGAGATTATTGTCAAGTCGTTGGTGACTTCTTAATTCATCCCTACAGAAGCTGTAGGCGCAGTTGATTTAAGGTTTCGAGGACTCGTTTCGGATAACAGTTTCTTGTGGTAAGTACGAATTTTGATCATGCGTCTTTGCAATTCTGCATGTTTGCTTTCATCGCTTGAAATTATTTGTTATCTCTGTTTTGTTATTAAATCTTTAACTGTATTTTGTTTGTATTTTATTAGTTTTTGGTTTTTTTGGTTTTTTTATCATTTGTGTAACTTTCTATCAAAAATTAAAATGTGGTACAAAGTATTTTTTTTGTCAACAATGTGGTACAAAGTTATTTTCACAAAAAAAAAAAAATATATATATATATATATCATGGCATGGAACATCGATAGATATATAACATAACATTTTTTTGTCGTGATATATAACATAACATATGTAGTTTAGAACTTTATCAAAAAATAAACATACGTAATTTAAAAACTAATAAAAAAATCGAAAATAAAATGGGGAGAGAGAGAGAAAGAGATGTGGCATGAGTGATGGGTGTGTATGGGAGTGAGTGAGAGCTGTGAAAGGGAAGAGTGCAGACAGTGCAGATCAGAGTTTGCAGACTCACTCATTATTTGCCTCTGACTCATCCACCTCTCTCTCTCTCCAAACCTTTTATTTTAGTTTTAATTTTCTCATAAATATTTCATTCAAACGATTTAAAATATGTATAATATTAGTTATATTTAAAACATCGTTAGACGTTAATCGAGCAATTAAAGTATATTTAGTGCCTAGTTCAAAACTAATCAGTGATTAATCTTTAAAAAAAATATTTACAAAGAAAAATATTATATAAATATTAATTTATATATAAAATAACAATAGAATAATAGGATCTAGTAGAAAATACTGCTTTTGAAACTTTCAATTCCTACTGATCTCTTTTTGGATCATTTTTTGTTCTTTCTTTAATGAAAATTATAATTTTCTCCTTCTGTATTTCGAGTTCTACAACTCTTCTACTCTTATTCGCGGCTGCCAATCAATTTTTTCACATAATCAATCAATTTTTTGTGTTATTTTTATTGTTTACATCTAAAACTTGTACATCCGATATATATATATATATCCATTTTGACTACTCGGTCTCGGTGACCACGTTTTATAACATGAGTATTAGTGTTATTCACACATGTGGACTATATATACTTAAATTTATACATGTCTATGTGTTGGACGATTTGTTTTTCTAACGTAAAATGTCTAGTTTTTTTTTCCTCTTATTTTTTTTTTGATAAATGGATGTCTAGTAAAATTAACATGATATGATTTGTCTGATTGAATATAATAATGATTAGTTGTAAACCATTTATTTGTTTTATTATAATTGTCTTGTTTTCCTTCTTTCGTAATAATTATTTTACTAGAGTTGGGTAGACATGGTAAATAGTTTTTAAAATATTTTCACTATATGTGATTATTTTATGTTTTTGAATTTAACTAATTTTGTCTCTGTTAATATGTATATTTGTTTTTGGTTTTTTTTGTTTTTTTTTAAGTTTAATACCATCTATGTGTTTGTTTAATGATAGTAAACATTTTTACCTGTTTTTCCTCTGATTGTCAATGATATGCAATTAGTTGATTTTTTAAAAAGGAGATAATAATATTTTAAAGTTTTGTTGGCGTAAACATTTTTTTATTTTGTTTCATGTAAAGCATACTTATCAAAACCAATGTAAAATATGTTTTCAGTTATTTAAAATTAGATGTTATGTAATGAAAAACAATGGTCTATTTTTTTAAAAAAAGAATTTTGTCTATTTTTAAGATAATGTTATGTTGTTGTTTTTAATATGTTGGATCTTTAGGAAAGAAAAATCATGAAATATATTGTTACCTAATTATTTATATTTACGTTTTCGTATAATTTTTCGGTTTATATTGAGTATGATGCAAAGATGACATGTTCTTTTTAAAACACTCATCTCCTTGTTACTGCATTTTTAATTTAAAATATATTCAAAAATTAATTTCAAAAATGCTTCAAATTGATATTTCGCTGGTCTGACAATGTTTATGCTTCGAATGTTCTTCATTACGAAGTTTTTGTGTTAAATTGTTACGTATGTATAACTTAAATTTTTCTTTTCATAAATAGAGATTTGATTTTACATAGTTTTATATCTTTTTTTTACATTTATATCTTTAATTATTAAATATAAAACATATCTGCTTTCATTTATAGTATATAATTTACCACATATGTTAATGGAACTTAGTTTTTAATAAATATTAAAAATAATATGGTGGATATCAATTAATTTTAAGTTTTGTTAAAAGAGAATTTGGTAATTACTATTAATGCTATTATTATATTTGTATAGATAAAAAAAATTCTAAATATTTTAGTTATGTAAATAAAACTAATCAAAATATATCATGTAAATGCTAAGTGGGAGAAGAAGAAGAGAGCAAATGTTACTTTATATATATATATATATATATATATATAAATAATGAATAATCGTTCTACTATAGGACTTCTATATGTTTCTCTGTCGATTGTTTTAGAGGACGAGTTTTTTGTTCTTTTTATTAGGCCCTTACAATGCCATAATTGCAGTTACATATGCTTACTTGGTTTTATATTTAAAACAACATAACCAAATCAAGAAGAATTTTAGGGATTTTTTTGTTAAAGGGTTTTCATTAATTTAAAAATAGAACATTATAACATAACACAAAGGAAAACAAAAATCTTAGAAAAGAAAGGATTAAGATTTAACTTAATCTCCCAAAAATTCTTAAAACCCCAAAAGCTCTTAAAAACCAAAAGCTGAAAGAAAATGAGGATTGACAAAACTAAACAAAAGCTTAGATTTGAGATTCAAGACTAGTTTCACAAATTAGTGATGGATATAAATCCCTTCACGTGTCTATGTAGGATCTACATTGAGATTTTAAGTTTTAACCAAGAAATAAAAGAACAATATTGGGGATCATAAATAAATGCCTTGTAAAATGTTGTTGGGTTTTGAATTCAAGACAGATAAACAACACTTCACAAATTTTACAAATAATGAAAACTAGAGCTGATAATTAATTATTTTTATATAACTTGTACAACTTTTGCCACTTAGTTTCATGACTTCTTAGATTCTCTTTTCGGTTACCAATTTTCTCGTTTTCCAATAAAAAAACTTTTCTAAACAAAACGAAATTTACAAAATCCTGAATATAAATAATATCATGGGTAGATATATACTTAAATGTCCCTTGTCAAGCTTTTAAGAAAAAAAAAATATACTTAAATGACGCTTGCGTAAGATGAAACCAAAAACAAAGTGGAAAGAAAATAAAAAGAAGAAAAGGGAATAATTAACAAGAAGAGGACATGAAGCACAGAGATTCTGCAGACTGCAGGTGACCAATGGACACTTTATCAATAAAAACATACCTACTCTCTCTACATTTGCAATTTTGCAAATACAACCCTCTTCTTTACTCTCTCTCTCTCTTTTTTTAATGGCGACTAGGATTCCTTTCACAGAGTCTCAATGGGAAGAGCTTGAAAATCAAGCTCTTGTCTTCAAGTACTTAGCTGCAAATGTTCCAGTTCCACCTCATCTTCTCTTCCTCATCAGAAGACCCTTTCTCTTCTCTTCTTCTTCTTCTTCTTCTTCTTCTTCATCTTCTTCTTCACCTTCCACCTTCCTATCTCCACACTGTAAGCAAACTTTCTCTTCTTTTCTTCTTTTCTTCTTTGCTTTGACCTCTATGATAGATTTATAGTTATCAATTGTAGTATAAAGGTTGTATTTTTAGGTGGTTTTGTGATAATGTGAAGACTTTAACTCTGTTGTGTGTAGTTGGATGGAACGTGTATGAGATGGGAATTAGAAGAAAGATAGACGCAGAGCCAGGAAGATGCAGAAGGACTGATGGCAAGAAATGGAGATGCTCTAAAGAAGCTTCTACGGATTCTAAGTACTGTGAGAGACATATGCATAGAGGCAAGAACCGTTCATCAAGAAAGCCTCTTCCTCCACTTCCTCCTCCTCAATTCACTTTTTCCTCCACACCAAGTCTCTCTCTAGACTCTTCTCTCTCTTCTTCTTCCAGGTTTGGACACAAATTCTCCTCTGTTTTACTCTTTTTTTTTTTTACTCTAATGGCAGGGCTTGAGCCTTTTTTTCTCTTAATGTGAAGGGTAAGAAGTAAAAGACGTGGATACATGGATGATTTCTTCTCCATAGAACCTTCAGGGTCAATCAGAAGCTCCTCTGGTTTAGCAGTGGAAGATTATGATGGCTCTTGTGGATATGAATCTCTGAAACAGAGGGAGAAGCAGCCTAATCGAAGTTGCTTCATCCTTGGCACTGACTTGAGGACGCGAGAGAGGCCACTGATGCTTGAGGAGAAGCTGAAACAAAGAGAAGACAAAGATTATGAAGATGAAGATGAGGAAGAAGAGCAACGGAGTAAGAGAGTTTATAAGTTCCTTGATGAATGGCCTTCTTCTAAATCTTCAGTTTCTACCTCACTCTTTATTTGATCAATTGTTTTTTGTTGTTGTTGTCAATGTTCTGTTTCTTGTTTAAGTTGGTAACCTCAAAATCTCTCACTTTCTTAAGTAATTAGGAGTTTACGTAATTTGTGTAATTTAGTTATAAAATTTCATTTCAAACTTTTTATGCTTGTCTACAGAAAACTGAAAACACGACAAAAAGACCATGTGAAGCGGTAGAAACTTTTTGTTGCCTATAGCCTAATATTGTGTCGCTAACTAAATTATCCACGGATTAGTGATTATATTGAGTATTTGATTGTTTGCTTGTGAAAAACCAAATCTGTCACGACGTCTCCGATTAACAACAAATTTAGTATAACGTTGAGTCATTTAATTTGGTCATAGTATAAAGGCTGAACGCATATGTGGGTGTTTACGCAGGATTTATAATTTTATAAGGTGGATATTTAAATAAAAAATCAAATAAAATAGGATTTTATTAGCCTTGAATTCATGTTTACGACGGCACAATTAAGCTTCATCAACCAGTTGAGCTACACTGATCTCGTACGTTACTCTTTTACATATTATGTATGTGGCACGTGCCCCAATACTGAAAACGTGAGAAAGAAAATAATGTTTTGACAATAAGATGTGGACGAATATATTGGTCAGTTTTATGTTTGACCATTTAGTCAAATTCGATACAGAGAGTCTCCGATCAGCGACGTCTATACGGCCGCATTAACGGTATTTTAGAATACTGGAACCAATCACTGATGAGTTTAACACCTTAGAAGTTAGAAGCATAATATATCACAAAATTGATCCAATAAATAATTAAATTTTGACAAAAAAAAAATTCTCATATAAATTTTGACAAAAAAAGAAAGAAAATCTCATATAGTTGGAAAAAAAACTTCACCAAAAACATTGCCTTCAAATTTCATCTCATTCACAGATTATGCTTAAAAAGTCTCATACAGAAGTTGCAGATCATAGTTGTAACATCTCTATCCCATGCTTTCTAGAAAATCAGAGAATCGGAGATGCTAGGATTCCAGTCCCTTAGTGAACTTCATGTCTACCAAGTACGAAAATGTCCAGATAACAATCAACAATATAAAACTAGCTAATCTACTTGAAAATAAAAGCAAGAAAGAAGGAGAGGTGAGTAATTTGGGATTACTTAGCGAGAATAAGCCTAAAAGAGGCCCCCAACACCATAATGATACACATAAATATTTATAAAAAGTCTAATCCTAAACAGTCCTACCCTAGAAGATCACAACAACTACCCTGCACACAATTCATAGAACACAGAATTTTCTACACCCAACTACCAGGTTTGGATATCCAGCCAGGTCACATAGAAAGACTGTGGTCACACAGACAAATATCCCGCCAGGTCACACAGACATGCATGCCAGATCACAAAGACAGGCACCAGGTCAAACATACAGGTTCTATATTGCTAGGTCACACAAACAGGTCTGGTGGATCGTTATTCCACCAACGATGACTGCTGAAGGTCACACAGACAACATACCAGCCAACAAGCAACACTAACCCATCCTTCCATGGGCCAGGGACCTAACAAGAATTCTAGCCACACATTAGAAACAACAATCAATTCATTTTTTTTTATTATTAATCCTTTCCTTTATTAAAATGCACATTCCATGGTGAGTGTAACATAATCCTAAAGAATAGCAGGTCATCAAACAAAGCGTTTATTTTAGAGTTCCACAAGCCATATCCATATTAAATTAATGTGTATCATTCCACCAGCAACCAACAATCATCAACAAACAGTCAACATGGATCCAAGTCCCATTAATTCTATGAACCCTAGCAAACAGATCTATGCAGTGGTTTAAGAAGAAGCTAACTATAAATAGAGATCTATGAAATAGAGGGTGAAGCAGAAAGTCATTACCTTGGCACAGAGGGGCTGCGAAACAGGAGGAAGACAAGGCATGGGAGATGGAGAGCGAAGGGGTGATCCATCATCACTGGATCCAAACTCAAAAGGAGGAGGATAAGGAGGCGCAGACATCACAGCAAGGAGAGAAAAAGCTTCGGTTGGGAGGAGAGAGAGGCTGGCCACAGCAAGGAGAGAGAAGGAGAAGGAGAGAGAGAAGAGAGGCAGAAGAAAACGCAAGAGAGAGGGAGAGAAAGAGAAAGAGAGAGAGAGAGAGAGAGAGGGAGGAGCTCGGTGCAGGGAAGGAGAAAAGAGGTGGCTAGTGTTTCTATGATTTAGGTTTAGAGTGTTAATTAGGGTTTAGGGAGTTAAATGGGTATTTATAGTTAGGTTAGTTTAATTAGGCTGGGCTTATTGGGCTTTGCAGAAAATTAAAAGAGGTTAGAAATGGGTTAATTAAAAAGAGATGGTCCAATTTAAATGAACCGGGAATTGGATTACTAACAACCAACATCAGAAGGTCGGGTTGTTACAATCTTCCCCCCTTTAACAGGATTCGTCCCCGAATCCTAAGGGAGAAGTTCTTGAAAGGAATTTTGAAAAGAAGGACCAAGAAAAGGTAAAAGCACATGAGACAAAAGGGAAAGCTTGGTCGCAGAAAGAGAGAAAAGAATTCAGAAATGGAACCACAGGGTCCATGTCGCCAAAAGAGGAGGAAGCTTGTATTTAAGATCTTAGAATGATGGACAGGACAGGGAAGAGGAAGGGGGTTTCAAATATGATGCAGAAGTAACACTTTAAATAAAAATCAAAACCATTCCTTTATTAAATTAAAAGAGGAGTTGAACATATTGTTTTAAAAATAATAAAAGCTATAAGAACACCAACATAGAATATAACTAATTCCTAAGTAAAGAAATCCTAGGCAACCAATAAATCAAATAGAACAATAAATAGAATAAAGAATACTTGTTCTACTCCTAAGGAAACCATTCTCCTAATCATTAGCAGAATCTTTGGAAGGGTCTTCTTCTACTTCACTTTCACTATCAGAGTAGATGAAGATGGGGCCTACAGGTCGAAGAGAATTCTCGATCCACAGAGCTAGGAGATCTGCATGGGCTCTGATACCAATTGTAACATCCCTATCCCAGGCTTCCTAGAAAACCAGAGAATCGGGCATGTTTGGACCCCAGTCCCTTGGTGAGCCTCAGGTCTGCCAGGTTCTAAAACGCCCAAGTAGCCATCCACAACATAGACATAGTTGATTTACCTGAAAATAAAAGCAAGAAAGAAGGAGGGGTGAGTAATTTGGGATTACTCAGCGAGAATATGCCTTAAGGAGGCCCACAACACTATCATGACACACATAAATATTTATAGAAAGTCTAATACTAAACATGCCTACCCTAGAAGATCATAACAACTACCCTGCACACAATTCATAGAACACAGAATTTCCTACACATAACTACCATCTTCGGATATCCAACCAGGCTACACAGACAGACTGTGGTCACACATACAAACATCCTGCCAGGTCACACAGAATGGCATGCCAGGTCATACATACATGCCCTATATCGCTAGGTCACAAAGACAGGCACCAGGTCACACAGACAGACACCAGGTCACACAAACAGGTTCTACATTGCTAGGTCACACAGACAGATCTGGTGGGTCGTTACTCCACCAACGATGAATGCTGAAGGTCACACAGACAACAGACCAGCCAACAAGCAACACTAACCCATCCTTCCATGGGCCAGGGACCTAACAAGAATTCTAGCCACACATTAAAAACAATAATCAATTCATTTTTTTATTATTAATCCTTTCCTTTATTAAAATGTACATTCCATGGTGAGTGTAACATAATCTTAAAGAATAGCAGGTCATCAAACAAAGTGTTTATTTTAGAGTTCCATAAGCCATATCCATATTAAAATTAATGTGTATCATTCCACCAGCAACCAAAAATCATCAACAAACTGTCAACATGGATCCAAGTCCTATTAATTCTATGAACCCTAGCAAACAGATGTATGCAGTGGTTTAAGAAGAAGCTAACTATAAATAGAGATCTATGAAATAGAGGGTGAAGCAGAAAGTCATCACCTTGGCACAGAGGGGCTGCGAAACAGGAGGAAGACAAGGCATGGGAGATGGAGAGCGAAGGGGTGATCCATCATCACTGGATCCAAATTCAAAAGGAGAAGGATAAAGAGGCGCAGACATCACATCAAGGAGAGAAAAGCTTCGGTTGGGAGGAGAGAGAGGCTTGCCACAGCAAGGAGAGAGAAGGAGAAGAAGAGAGAGAGGAGATCTGAGCAAGGATGAGAAAAGAGGCAGAAGAAAACGCAAAAGAGAGAGAGAGAGAAAGAGAAATAGAGAGAGAGAGAGAGAGAGATAGAGAGAGAGAGAGAGAAGAGGTGGCTAGTGTTTCTCTAATTTAGGTTTAGAGTGTTAATTAGGGTTTAGGGAGTTAAATGGGTATTTATAGTTAGGTTAGTTTAATTGGGCAGGGCTTATTGGGCTTTGCAGAAAATTAAAAGAGGTTAGAAATGGGCTAATTAAAAAGAGATGGTCCAATTTAAATGAACCGGGAATTAGATTACTAACAACCGACATTAGGAAGTCGGGTTGTTACAATCTTCCCCCCTTCAACAGGATTCGTCCCCGAATCCTAAGGGAGAAGTTTCTGAAAGGAATTTTGAAAATAAGGACAAGCACATGAGAAAAAAGGAAAAGCTTGGTCGCAGAAAGAGAGAAAAGAATTCAGAAATGGATCCACAGGGTCCATGTCGCCAAAAGAGGAGGAAGCTTGGATTTAAGATCTTAGAATGATGGACATGGCAGGGAAGAGGAAGGGGGTTTCAAATATGATGCAGAAGTAACACTTTAAATAAAAATCAAAACCATTCATTTATTAAATTAAAAGAGGAGTTAAACATATTGTTTTAAAAATAATAAAAGCTATAAGAACACCACATAGAATATAACCAATTGCTAAGTAAAGAAATCCTAGGCAACCAATAAATCAAATAGAACAATAAATAGAATAAAGAATACTTGTTCTACTCCTAAGAAAACCATTCTCCTAATCATTAGCAGAATCTTT